AAGGCTGAAAAAAGAGGCACGTCTTTGCTGCCTGCGTTAATAATGGAAATATCCTTCTTCATAGGTACTTTCGTGTACATCAGTGCTTTTGGACCAAAAGTATACCCTTGTTTTTGAAAGCATTATCTTAAATTTAGAGGGGCGTGATTCTGTCCATAAAAGCACAGTGTGCTACATAGTTACCAGGGCACTAAAAATGCAACCAGATGTTGCTGATCTGAGACATGATCAAAGTGGAGATGCTCTGTGTGGACTCGTGGAAAGTTTGAAAAGTCTTCCGAAGTTTGAAAACAAATAAGAAAAACTGAATAAAAGTATTGTTTCTGCTTATCACATGGTGAAATATTTTGTTCAGCATAACAACTTTACATTGTCATCATCCACCAGCAGACAATACCAGTTGTAATATTCATAGGAAGCAAAGAGAAATAATTTCATTGCTCTGTGAACCAAGCCCACATCCATCACTGAGGTCTTCCACTGATTTAAATAGGCAATAAATAATTGTAAAGATCTGATGAATGCAATTAAACAGTAGCCTCAGAGGAAGTAAAAATCTCTGCATAATTATAAACATATATCCATGTATACTCTGCCTTCTGTGTAACAGTGACAAAAATGTCCTCCTTCTAGGAAAGGCAAGTTTGGCACATACAGACAGCTTAGGGACTTGTGATCTCTCAAAGCTCCAGCCTGATGCACGTTCTGAACACTGCCTCCAGCCTTGTCAGTCTCTTGAATGCTGAGTTTATACATGATTGACTCCTAAATGGTGTAAGATTGTGTTTAGCATTATTTCTACTAGAAACCTTCCTAAATTCAAAGCCTTTTTGTATCATATGTGACAAAAATACAGGAGTTCTCAGTAGGGAGTCTTGCTGCAGACACACTTCAGATGTGGCTGGCAAATGTAAAAAGTAAAAGGAAAGGAAAGGAATGAAGAACAAAACTTACCAAAAATATTTCAGTTGTCTCTTTGGAGAGTGTTTTGTTTGTGTTCACCTCAAAGAAAGTCATCTACACGTCTTTGGTTTGCAGGGGAAAACAAAAAAACCACTATACAACCCATCACCCCTTGTTAAAGCCAGCGCTGGTAAAAGCACTTTCAGGGTTCAGATAGCGAGTCTTTCTGGTGTTTGCGACATTTTAAATAAAGCACTATACTTTCATGTCCTCCGTGTCCCAACTTCTTAAAAGTGAACTAAGATACCTTTACATGTTCTATTCTTTCACTAAAATGAACTCCTCTGTCATTAATTAACTCGGGCAGAAAACATATAGACTACTGATACAGTGACCCTCCCTTGGTATGGAGATAGCCACGAGTAACAAAAGAAGCCATAACTGGAGATTTGGCTGGCTAGGAGGTAATTTAATAGTTAACACACATTGCAAGGTAAGATCTCTAAACTGTAACACAAAATAGAAACTGAAAACAAGCTGGGACCTTAAAGGTCAGTCATCACTCAGGACAAGATTAAGTATCAAAGACTGAAAGCCAAACTGCACCATATATTCAAATCATTAAAGTACAAAGAATAAAAAAGATAGAAAAAAAATGCAAAACTGAGATAGCAATAACCATATATTCAAATCATTAAAGTACCATATATTCAAATCATTAAAGTACAAAGAATAAAAAAGATAGAAAAAAAACCCGCAAAACTGAGATAGCAATAACTGATCATGCTTAATTAGGAAGTAAAATGCATGACAGGAGCAAGGCGACTTTCACGGTAGAAAACGTGTTGATGGGAGGCACAAACTCATTGCCACAGATGAGTTCCAGAGTTCCACAAGGGTACAAGGATTATGAAAACCTGCTTGCACTTCCAAGGAACCCCACTCTACAGCTAGGCACATGCATTAGTCCTTAAGAGGGAAACAATTAAAAAAGCAGGGCAGCAGTTTCATTTGAGAGAAACAAGTTAAAACAATCCTTTTGGATATATTTCATTAAAATGGTCTGCCCCTTTCTATAGTTCAAGGCAAGATACACAATTCTTTTATAGGTTTATCTTACTAATTCTGAATACTTTAGCTTTGTCAGTGGTAAGCAGTTAAGACACATTAAAAAGCAACAAATTGTCCGTAAGTTATGAGTCAAGAAAAAGGTTTTCTGTAAGGCCAGTCTGTGCTTCCAGCAAAAGAAGTACCTTCTTTCTGTCTGCTGAAGCAGAAATGTTCTCTTTGTGATGTTCCAAAGCATGAAGCCCCCTGACAGGTACATATTCCAAAGAGAGAGATTACATCATCATAGAGCCACCACCAGAAATTATTTAGCAGATGAAGTCATCACAAACCAAAAAAATGTAATGGAAAAGTGGCAATTGGGCCATTTTTCTGTATTGTCCTAATCATGGTCCCAGATTCTGGGGGCAGGCTAAAAATAGCCTTCCTTCAGATATGAGGTAAGACTGTCCCTGATATTCTGTGCAAAGCTGCTATACAGACCCACTAATGGAGATGTCATCTTCTTGCATTCCAGCATTAGCCCACCCACTTATTCCAGAAACCCAGGCGGGTAAAGCCTCAGCGAGGAGAAAGGCACCTGTCAGAGGGATGCACACTACCATCTTCTTGTATGCATCTGCCCCTCCACCACACCTGCAGGCAACTGGATCCAAGGGAACTGTCACACCACCAGCGCAGGGATTATTTTGAAGAGATAAAGCTACCTGGGGAGGTGGGGGGAACTGTTAGTACTGAAACTGCTTGGCTGCTCTGTACTGCTGCTGGAGCAGGGTCTAACACACAGGATCAGACTGCACAGCTTGTGCAGGTGTTCAGAAGAGATTGTGTTTTCCTTTCTCCATTTCCCTGGGCTGTTTCTGATTTAATACGGACAAAATTGGGTAAAACACAAGCATTTCCCTGGGAGCTGGAATCAGCACCAGGTGCCTGGATGTCTTGCATCTGGATATCATAGGCTTTTTGCACAGATCTGGAAAGTTTATCATGCTGTACCAACCTCAAAACTTGAGTAGTAACAACAAAACGCTCGTTGGGATAATTCATCACTGCACCAGGAGAAGCAGCTTCCTTCATTTTTATTTGGGAAAATTATTTAATTCTGGGCAAGTTTACCCAAGTAGGGCTAGAACTGTGGTTAATTCCTGGCAACATATGATAACTTTAGTTGAGAAATGACAACATGCCCTTGATGTCAAGCCACTAGTAGGCTGAACCTGGTTCTGGGCCTGGGTTTTCTGTTTTTCAAACTTCCTAAGCCACAGTCATAATAGCTTTTCCTGAGGACAGCTGTAAAGGGATATTACACTGAGATTTCATATCAACAGAAAAGAAAATGCTCAGGTAGATGTCAGTCTTCAGTGAGAAGCAGTTGGAAAAATAATCCAGAGCAATGATACAACCAAACAATATCAAAGACTATACACACAAAACACTTCTTGCAGAGAAAACTGGATTGCAGGAGATGCAACCACAAAGGGTTTCAGCCACATGCCTCCTGCACTTCTTCCACCGCAGGGGAGGTAAAACTATCCCCAAATCCATAAGAAGGGCTTGACATCCAAGGAGGCTCAGTCCTATATGCATAATATTTATAAATCCCAGCATCTGGTTACATGACTTTCCCTGCAGCATGCTGACTAGTGCAGACCCTATCTTTCCCCCCATACATCATATAGGGGCCTTCAGCTCCCAATGAGGCAGGTTGAGGAAGCCCCAGGTGAGTCTGGTAAAGACCTACAATTACATTTAAATCTGCACAGCTCATGGTATAGGTATTTTTAAAGGGTAAATGAATTCAAATGTTGTTCACTTTATGAGTCAAAATCTGAAATAAATAATATTGCTTTTACTACCTTTGATCATTTGCTTCATAAGTAAGAACACTTTTGATTTCTAAGCTGAAAGCTTACCAACATTTCTAAATACAATACTCCATTTGATGTAGATGTTTCAATAGAAACAGCTTAAAATACTCTTTTACAGTTTATAAAGATTGCTTTAAATTGTTTTGGAGAGTCAAAGCACTTAAAGTGTATTTAAGTTTCAGTTAAATAACTAAAAAAATACATCAATAGCATTTTTTCTTCTCTTGGCTTGGATGAGTTCTCTAATGTCTATACTGGAAAATGCTGATTATAAGCAACATTTTCAAACAAAATTAGTGTTTTTAGATACATTCAGCTCCTAATTCTATCACCAAACTCTTCTCATTAATAGTATCTTTAAAACGTAAGTTCTAGTATAGAATTAAGTGTAAAGCTTTAATAGCTTGTAAACACGTATACTTGATATTCTTAGCTGCAGAGATAGATAGCGTCGGTTATAAAACTAAGAAAACCAGGCATAAATCCAGCTGTAAGTAGAGGCATATAAAAGAGTTCATAAAGTCAATCATTCCTATGAGCCTCGCTTTTATTCAAAAACTGTATTTCCTACACAGACTGCTTTTAAAATAACAGGGTTTAGCTGTTAGTTGCTCTAAACATTCAAATAGGAATGTTAAAGTTTGAATACTTGTAAACCTTTCAGGATGATAAATGAAAGATAAAAACCCCTTGATCGATGTAACTTTTATTTATTCATCTGGGAACATTGCAAGGATATCATAGGCAACAACGCCGCCTAGAACATGGATTTCACATAAACTGTTTCGGCAGAAACACACATTTAAATAATCACCCAAATCATCACCTCACTATTTATATCTTTAAAAAAAAATCACACAAAAACTAAAAAAAACCAAACAAAACCAAAAAGAAAACAAAAAAAACCCCAACAGAAAAAAAGAAACATAATATCTGAACAAACAAACAGCCTAGAATTTTTTTTTCTATTTAATGTCTATGCCAGCCACATCTGTCCCTGATTTTAGAAGTTTTAATACTTAGCACTGAAAATGGTACCTTTCATTTGCAAACACGTTATAAACATGAACTGACCACAATTATACCACAATACCTCACCAAAGCTAATCAACAAGACTGCCTGGTCCTCTCTCAGCCTGGGGAAGTGCTGAATCAAGTTTGTGCTGCCAGCTCCCTGCATGACAATGTCTACACCCTGCAAAGCACTACACAGAGAAGTGAGCTTAGTGTGAAGTGACTGACCAAACTATAGTGTAAAATCAAGCAGGTTTTTCCACTCAACGCTAATATTTTGGTTTATAATCCAAAAAGAACTGACCAGGGCATGATAAAATTTAATGTAAACCATTTGGAGTGAAAGGTGTTATTTTGCCTAGTGAAATCTCCCCCTCACAGTCCAGCTCACATACAGAGTCAGTGGCAACGTCATGGTCAGGAGAGAACTGGCACATCCTATCAAAAGGGTCCTCACGATTTTCCTCACAGTCAACCACATTTGGGATCATGTTAACATAAGCAGTCACTATGTCCTTATGGAAAAGGGTGTCCTGGTTGTAAGAGATAAGCTCATTGCTTATATTAACAGTCTCCACTGGAGTACTAGAGCAAAACTGACTGCATCCCAGGAGGTTGGAGAAGACCTTTCTAAAGTCAGCGTTGAAGGCATAGATGATGGGGTTCAGAGAGGAGTTGGCCCAACCAAACCAGACAAAGACATTAAAGGTGGTCTCACTGACACAGGGAAGGCCAGCGTGGGGGTCACTGGGTGGGCTCTCACAAAAGGGAACCATGCAGTTCAAGATGAAGAATGGCAACCAGCAGCAGACAAAGACGCCCATGATGACGGAGAGAGTCTTCAACACCTTGGTCTCTTTCCTGATGGAGGACTTGAGGCTTGTGTGATGGTGGCAGTCAACGTGGCTGCTCCGGCAGCTCTGTGCATGCTCAGCTGCCCTCTCCAGAGAAGAGATACGACGAATTTGCACCTGGGCAATGCGGTAGATTCGAGTGTAGGTAACTATCATGATAGCCACTGGGATATAAAAACTGATCAAGGAGGAGGAAATAGCGTAAGTCCTGTTGAGGCTGGAGTCACAGCTCTCTGATGGTCCAGTGAGGGTATCATTGCTGCCAGAAGTGCCATCAGAGGGTCTCATTGCTGCTAACGCCACCCATGTGGTGCTCATGTCTTCCGCCCAGGTGGTGACAGCACCTGCTGCTGCCCAGCCAGTCCCAAACCCATCTCTGATATCACTAGCAGCAACAGCGTCCCCACCTTTGTGCCAGTTGAGCTGGACAGGAAGGAAGGAGATGAGCACAGACAAAGCCCACGCCACGCTGATCATCACCAGAGCCAGCCGCTGGGTCATCTTCCTCTCATAGCGGAAAGGGCTGGAAATAGCCCAGTACCTGTCCACGCTAATCACGCACAGGTTCAGGATGGAGGCCGTGGAGCACATGATATCAAAGGCCACCCAGACGTTGCAGAAAGCCCCGAAGGGCCAGTACCCGGCCACCTCAGCCACCGCCTTCCAGGGCATGACCAGCAGAGCCACCAGCAGGTCCGACACAGCCAGGGACACGATGAAGATGTTGGTGACCTTGCTCCTCAGGTGCCGGTAGCGGACGATGGCAGCGCACACCAGCACGTTCCCAAAGAGCGTCCAGAGGATGAGCAGAGC